GGGGGGTGCTCAGCCTCAGAGATCAGGTGAGGAGCTCCATCATCCTGGAGGAGTTCAGATTAGAGCCGCTGCTCCTCCTCAGTAAATGTAGTCAGCTAAGGAGGTTCAGACGGACACCTGCTGGGCTCCGGTTGTTGGAAAAATGCACTGGGGAGGAGATCCAAAGGCAGACACTGGAGGTTTTGTTGGTCCTCTCTGGTCTGGGAACACCTCAGGATCTTAATATTCAAAAACTGAACCAATCTGTGGAGATACTGGTCCAGTTCTGGCTCCAACTTCCAGGTTTCCAAGGAATGTCAAGTTTTTTTGACTCCTGCATTTCCACCCTTTACTCCCTCACTTTGTTGCCTGACATCACAGTTTCCTCTTCTTTGCCCACCCACCCCCACCCCTCCCCTTGGTGGATCCAGGTCAGGACTCAGGGGAGCAGGTCTCGACTGAACCAGGCTATGAATAGTTCTCTCAGCAGGGATCAGTCTGCTGGTCTGACTGGGATTTTATAACAAGGCTTGAGAACCGAGGGGGTGGCGTTGGGGGTAAGATGCCACTTTAGCCCCCCGCCCCCCCCATCCCTTCTCTCAGTTAAAGCAGATTAATTAAAAGCTCACTCTCTCTCTCTCTTATCAGTGAGAGCTGAGCTCTTACTGTAAGCCTCCTGGGGGGCCCAGCACCAGGCTGGGTGGTGGGTCTCCGGAAACGATACTAATTCCAACCGCCGGGATGATAGGACGACAGTTTGTTGCTGATTATCTCTGCAACTGTCGAAGAAAAGATTTCCTTTTCTGACAGACTGCCTGTCGCTCACAGCCTGAGCTCATTTCTCATTCACACCCCTCCCCCCACCCCAACGTTCCCGGTAGTTGCCAGTTATACGAGCTGGTTGCCTGGAGCCAGAAGAGATCGTAGTAATCTAATGAACTCTTGCCCTGGTATCACCTTCTTCCTGAGCTGCACAGCAGTGAAATCACAGGAAGCATCCATCGTTTCCAGACTCCAAGCTTCAGGTTTGCAGCCAAAAATAAATAAAAAAAAACATTTGGACGTCCTGACGCTGGCTGCTGGAGGCAGGTTTCAGTCAACAATGTGAGCTCCTGTTTACCATCCAGTCCTGCTTTATGGGTCTGGTTGTTTGAAGTTGGCTCTGAATGATTTTCTCTGTTGCCAAAGACGACGACAACAAAGGCTGAGAGTTTATTGTTCCAGTTATTTGGTTGAAACAAAAAACAAATCTCAGTAACTCTTCACCAAACTGTAGAACTGGTTTATTACTGGAGCCAATGGACGAGCCTTGAAGAACGTTCACTACTTTTCTGCCATCATTGTTGTTTTTTCTCACGATTGTTGTCTAAAAACTCCTCTCACAGCTTTGGAGCGAGTATCCACTCATCAGCCACTTTATTAGGTCCACCTGTTCTGTTTTTTGTTGTCAAACAGCTGATCAGCCAATCAAATGGCAGCAACCCAATGTTCAGCTGCTCAAGTTCAAACTGAACATCAAGAAGGTGATTTAAGAAACTTTGAACATGGCGGTTCTGAGTGTTTCAGGATCTGCTGAGATTTTCAAAAAGAAACTCTTCAGGGTGTGAGAGTCGTGTGGACGAATGTCAGACAGGTTGGAGACGATAGAAAGGCAACAGCAGCTCAAAGAACCGTTCGTTCCAACCCAAGATCTACAGAAACATCTCTGAACCTTGGAAGAGATGGTCTACAGCAGCAGCAGACCACACCAGCACCACTTCCTGTCAGTTAATAACAGGAAACTGAAACTACAGTTTACCATCCGTTGTGGTGAAGATGGAGCTGAGTTGTAAGGAGAAGCTTTCTGTTTACTGGTCGGTATACGTTCCTACCCTCACCTATGGCCAGGAACTCTGGGTAGTGACTGAAAGAATGAGACCGTAGATACAGTTGGTTGAAATGAGTTTCCTTTGCAGGGTAGCTGGACTCTCCTTTAGAGATAGGATGAGAAGTTCAGTAATCCGGGAGAGACTCGAGAGTAGAACCGCTGCTCCTCCACATCGAGAGAAGCCAGTTGAGGTGGTTCAGGCATCTGGTAAGGATGCATCCTGGACACCTCCCTCAGGAGGTGCTTCGGGCATGTCGACTGGAAGGAGACCCCGGGGAAGACCCAGGACACGCTGGAGAGACTGTTTCTTGGTTGACCTGGGAACGCCTTGGGGTCTCCCCAGGAGAGCTTGAAGAGGTGGCTGTGGAAAGAGATGTCCGGGCTTCCCTGCTCAAGCTGCTGCCCCTGAAACCCGACTTTGGAACAATCGGAAGATCATGGATGGATGGATGGATGAAGTTACAGTTCATACAACCCTAGATAACAAGATACTGGAAAACAGTTCCTGGTCTGAAGAGTCTGGATTCACTGGACTAAAACCTCCACAGTCATCAGATCTCAGTCCAGTCAGAACTTTAAAGATGTGGTGGAACCAGATTTTCTCATCCTGGAGCTGACAAATCTGCAGCGACTGTGTGGTGCTAACATAACGATATGGATGAGAACCTCTGAAGAACGTTTCCAACACCTTCTTGAATCTGTGCTGCCAAGAATTTGGGCAGTTCTGGGGGTGTGATGGTTTCAGACTCTAAATTTACCAAAACTGTTACATAAAAATCATTCCCACAATGTTCACACTTTTTACGGTTTGTACATCCAAAAGAAGGTATTTCTGTCTTGTTCCATCCAGATTGTTTCTCTGCTGTAAGACGGATGGTTTTCTCTCAGATACCCGAGGTCACACATCCAAATCCCGTTGACGTCCACTGCATACATCTCAGATTCCTCTCTTTAAAACTGACTAATGGCTCATTTTAACTTTGAACAGTAAAGTATCAGTATATTGTTTTCTCAGTGCTCCAGATGATTTAGGATTACGTTGGTCTGTAAATCTGTGCCGTCTTCTCCTGGGTTTGTCGTTTTTTGTTTGTTTTTTTTTTGCTGCCAGCAGACTTTGAACCGAAGAGCAGAGACAGGCAGACTGTGGCCTGAAACATAATCTACGGAGAACTCTGAGTGAAAGGTTTTATTGCATTCTAACGGCTGGAAAAGTGTCAGGAAATTAATATGTTCTTCTCTGAGTGAGAGGTTTGTAAAACCTCCAGGTTTAATTTAGGATCCGACGTCTGTGAGTGGTCGTGTGACTTTAGGGTCGTAAAATATTTCAAATCGTTTTTTTTTTTTGTTGTTGTTTTTTTTCCTGTTTGTCAAACTGAGGAGTTGCGTCTCGTTTCTGTTGCAGGTTGCAGCCGTTCATCACCAGACAACCCAACAAGAAGCTGGCTGTCGAGCAGGTGAGCTAGACTCTACTTTTATTTGTTCTCTTCCTCCCTGTGTCTGTCTGTTAGCAAAATATCTACAGAACCCACTGAATACAGAATAAACACTGTATGTAAATAATCTAATTAACCTTGAAAAATGGCTACAACTCAGTTTTACAGATTTTGACCTAAGTCATTGTGGTAGTAGCTGAGAGTCATTCAAAACAGTCTGAGATCTTTGTTTCAAACGTTGATACATAAGGTGGCGGGCGTCATGCATTCCTTCAAGGAATGTTAGTTTTTTTTATTATAAATTTATTGTAAGGAACTAACTGTATGAGTCACTGAGATTAAATTAAATCTATAAATTTTTTAATCTAAGAAGTGTTAAAATATTCTAGAAACAATTGGGGGGAACAAAACTAGAATAATTAAGACAGCTCAAGCCTGTCAAGGCAAAGAGTAATCCTGTAAACACGGTACAAGTCAATGGAGGCTTAATGGTGTCCAAAATGGACACAAGAACCTGAAAACTACTTTAGTCAAAACAAACAAAAAATATGACCTGACTCCTGTCTGACAGCTGGCTCTTTAAGAACAAATGGGTACAGGTCTCAATCAGCCGAGGTTTCAGCTGATTTATCGACACTTTTGTAATAAATCTTCTGTTCAGCTTTTCTCAGCTCTCTAAGAGATTGATGAATAAAAAATAAACCATGAAAACGTAATTTTCTGTAGAAATTCTGAGTGAACGTTGACAACTGAACGCCTTTTCTGAAATCTGCTGAAAAACCTAAACTAAGTTGTTAAAGGCTTTGAAATTAAAAAGTTGCAAAATGTTGGCTAAATATATCAGCATACTAGCGAAAAGTATAAAAATGAGCAAAACGGCAAAAGGCTGGCTGACATTTTAAATATTAGCTAAATAAAGTGTTGAATAACTAACTGGTCAAACAGTCCCAAAAAGTAGCTAAAAGCATCAAAAGTCTAGCTAAAAGCTAAAAAAAAAAATAAAATGCAAAAGGCTAACTATAAGCTTTAAGTGTCAAAATGCTAGGTAAGTCATATCAAAATGCTATCTAAAGCAGTGTCAGAATGCTAGCTAAAGCAGTATCAAATTGCTAGCTAAAGCAGTATCAAATTGCTAGCTAAAGCAGTGTCAAAATGCTAGCTAAAGCAGGGTCAAAATGCTAGCTAAAGCAGTGTCAGAATGCTATTAATGTCAAGATGCTAGCTGAAGCATCAATAAAAGGCTAGCTAAGAGTTAAAATGTATTTAAAAAGTTGAAAGTTAGTTAAATTAATTGAAAGTATCAACTAGAAGCTGTATGTGGCACAAACAAAAAGAGCCAGTTTGTTAAAGCAGATTTGAAAAGTATAAAAGTCAGAGCGGCCGCCTGCTGAAGGAGCTGAATGTTTTATGAACAGACTTTTAAAAGCACAGAGTCTGCAGAAGGTAAACTGCAAAAAGGAAAATGGTGAGAAAGCTGGATGCTGTCAGGGTGGGCGCGTGGGGGGAATAAATCGGTACTCGGTCCATGTGAGAGGTGAAGCTCACTTTGTCGTCCTTTTCTTATTACATGTCCTCTACTGCGGGGCTTCCATTACTCCGAAAACTTCGACCGGGGCCTAAAATAAAAACCGCTTAAAACCTGGAAGTAAAATTGTCATCAACAGCCGTATTTAAGCTGTTTTTTCCTCCCCTCCATCCTGCAGTCACATCTTTGTGTTGTTTGTTGCCTTTAAGATGAATCCAGATGTTTCCTGCTCCAGTCTGTTCTGTCTTCCTGCTTTAAATTTAAATGTGCTTTAAATTTGACCAGCCGAAGGCTAGCGTCACAGTTTAGCTTTCGGCTGCTGTTTTTGTCATTTATATCACATTAGTGCTCAGAGTAGGTGTTGGGGATGACTCTCCGCTACTACCACACCAAATTTTAGCTCATCTGTAAAATTAAAAGACTTGGCTTTGCTTAACTGTGGCGGCCATCTTGACTCAATTCAACTTCAAAGGTTGTCCTTTTTAAATGTTCGTAAGCCGTTGGCGTCTCTGAATGAAGCACAGAGGAAGAAAACACTTCCACGTGGGGTCGTGTCAATGAGGCGTGTTGCTTAGCAACACTCACTCTGCCTCCTCTCCTGGAGAACTGGACCCAGACGGGCCTCATAGAGCCCACAGCTCAGGTTATGTAACGTTTCTGTTTCAGCACAGTGGTCGAGGTGAACAGAGTCGCTCAGTTGTTCAGCCTTCAGCAGTGATCCGGGATAGATCACCTTCAGGTTTTAACAGAACCAGAGGATAGTCACTGGACTGAACAGAGAAATCGGTTCTGACCCACACCCCGTCCCCGTCAGGCTGGAGCCACAGATGGCTGACTTTAAATACAACTAAACTGTCTATGACTCCATCGGTTTGACAGATGCTGTGGTAGTAGGGATGTGCGATATGACATAAAATTCATATCACGATATGTATCATGAAGGATGGCGATAACGATATATATCGCAATATGTTTTTGGTATAAAATTTGCAATAGGAATTCTTTTTTTTAAAGCATAGGGTGTCCTTTTGCCATCATTTATTTTGAAAACTGCTATACCACAAAATAATCTCAATTAAGAAAATTCCGCTACTAGGTCCAGAGAGTTTTAAAATAATGAACAAATCAAGTATTAGGCTTCTTTCTTGTAGTGCAAAACAGTGCAAAAGATATCAAATGTAGTTTTAGCCACATGTTTTAAACAAAAGAATATGTTGTTAACAGTTTCCAGTCAGCAACAGCAGCATTTTACACTGAAAACACTTCACCCTCCAACCCTCTAGTGGGCGTCTTCTTCCCCTTTAAGGAGTGCTGACACAAAATGGCGACCAGTTTTCTCTGTGGCTTTGACCAGAGGGTCTCGCAGTAAAATCACACAACACAGCGTTCTTTTCACAGATCAGAGAGCAGGTTTCTCTAAAGCTGACCGACGCTTACTTTAACTTCCATCCATACATCCATTTTCTTTACCCGCTTATTCCATTTTGGGTCACGGGGGTCGCTGGTGCCCATGTCCAGCAATCACTGTGCGAGGGGCGGGGTACACCCTGGACGGGTCGCAAGTCCATCACAGGGACACACAGAGACAAACGAGACAAACAAACATTCAGTCTCTCACTCACACCTAGGGACAATTTAGAGTTACCAATCAGCCTAACATGCATGTTTTTGGACTGTGGGAGGAAACCGGAGTACCGGAGAAAACCCACGCATGCACCGAGAGAACATGCAAACTCCACCCAGAAAGGCCCCTGGACCGGGGTTTGAACCAAGGACCTGCTCGCTGAGAGGCAGCAGCTCTACCAGTTGTGCCACCGTGCTGCCCTTACTTTAACTTACAACGGAAAAAAACAAAACACTTTCAGTGGAACACAGCGTTTTGCGCATGCGTTGAATACGGCAACACTACGGCAAGCCGGCCGTAGTTAGCTTGTAGCTTCGCTACTTAGCTCTCAAAGAAAACTTTAACACCACTTACGCAGTTTTCAACTAAAAAAGTAACTATTAATCTGACAACTCTGATTTTACATCAGACACAGCATTACTGCGGTTAGCCGGTAGAAGACAGATCTCTATCGTAGGCTAAATTTCTATCGTTTCTACCGTGTACCGTATATATTGCGCATTCCTATGTGATAGTAGCAGAGAGTCATCCCCAACAAACTGAGTGCCAACCAATGAACAATTGGAGACTGTTAGCAAAATATCTCATAGACCAATACACGGATCCTATTGAAATTCGAGTAATTATCTAGGGCTACAGCTGGTTGACCTGGTTCAAGATGGCTGCCATCATTCAACCAAAATGGCTACAAATTAGTAGTTTTTCCAAATTAAAATATTTTGAAGCTGTGGCGGGCGATACACATTCCTCTAGAAATGCTAGAGTTGACATTTTAATTATGCCAAACAGCCTCGTTTTTGTAACATATAGTTTCGTAAAATAAAATTATAAAACCTCAGGAGAACCTGGTAGATGTTGGGAAAGTGTAGGCTAATCATCTGTCAGGTTCTGATTGGATGTTGAGGTTATGGAGAGGGCAGCTGTCAGATTGAAGGACCAACAAGAGACCATGAGGACACTGAAAATCAAAAAAGACCAAATCTATTATTTCCCTCGTGTTTTCACTTTGAATTGACCCGGTGTTTCCAGAACCAGGAGTAGGTTCTGGTCCTTTTCAGTCTCTCAGCTGCAGATTTATTAAACAATATTTATTAAATTCATCTACTGGAGGAAGTTAAAGTTCTGTGTGGAACTCTGACAAATTAAACATTTAATCAACTTTAGTTTTCTGTTTCTTTGAGAAAACGTCTCAGAATTCTTCCTGTTTTTAAGGCGGCGGTCTCCAGCCCACAGCCGGCACCTGCAGCGTCCCCAGTCAGCGGGTTGGTGGTGGAGAGTGGGCCAGTGGTCTACGATGATGGAGCTGCTGAGGAAGAGGAGGATGAAGATGAGCCTTGTGTCAGCGCCATGGAGCTGCTGGGCGGAAACGGTCAGTTTAAACCATCAAATCACAGCAAGTTTTATTATAATTTATTTATTTATTTAAGAGTTTTCAGCCTTATTTTGATTTTATTGTTGCCCAACTTTAAAAATAAGACGTTCTTTATCCTGTAGGAGCTTTCTTTGATTATTTTTAGGTCTCGAGGTCTTTTTTATTTAAATTTAAAGCTCAAGGATTTTATAAAATATCAGAAAATGTATTAGTTTGTTCTTATAGTAAAAACAATATGACTCAGTTTAAATGTGAATAAAGTGGGTATATATATATATATATATATATATATATATATATATATATAACCCCAAAGTTACATTAGTGTGAAAATATTTTTACTCTTTCAATTTGAATTACAAGACGAATTAATTTAAAGTTAGAATTTTTTTTCAACTCTAGATCATCCAAAATGTTTCTGTAGAAGAATGTTTTTAGGTTTACCTGTTAGAAAATCAACAAGAAAGGTCAAATAATTTTCTCAAAACAGTCAAAAGTAGATGTAAAATAAATAAAATGGCCAAAAATGGCATCAAACTTTATTAAGTGTATTTCATGCATAAATCAACTGTGTGTGATTTGTATAAAGGTCATAAAACACGAGTTAACATTTGCACTGAAAATAGGATTAAACAATAAATTTAAAATGATTAAAATGTCCTTAAATCCCCTTCAGCCTCTTCCTGTTTACTCTGCAGCCGTTTAATTTTTAATCATAAATTTTACCGCATTAAAACCTTCTAGATTAATCGATAAAGACGTGATTTTTTTTAAGTTTCATGCTCTTTAACAAATTTTGTTGCAGGACTCGTAAACCCGCGGTCTTTAATGACCCCTCGCTGTGGAACTTTTTTTAATTTCTCTGCTCCGTCTGTTTTAACGAGTCCTCTCGAGATTAAATTCCTCCATTTTTATGTCTCCGCCTGTTAAACTTTAAGGATCTTGAACCCGCGGCAGTAAACATCCCGAGCTACTTCGTTGATTCCTGCAGAGCTTCGCTTTGGCTCCTGTGTCCTCGGCAGAGAGGTCAAAGGTCAGGAGCAGGACAGATGAAGAGACAACTCTCACAGTTCGTGTCCGACCTGTTGTCGCTCTGAAGTCACAAGCAGCTGACGATAAAAACGAAAGTTACGTATGTAACTACGGTTCTATGAATCCCGGATGACCGCCAGAGCTTCTCTGTCACTCAGAATCCTTGCGTTCCGCAAGAAGATTTTGTAGGAGCAGAACAGCGGATGACGTCGGGCTATATAGCCTCTGATCGGTCATCCGTGTCACAACACACACACAAGGATGTTTTCACAATCTACATCTTTAGGGAGTTATGAATGCATTTGTGGTTTAAACCTGAACAAGGAAACTAAACCGCATTTAACCACAAACAACGTAACGCCTCAGACCCGATCAAAGCAGCCTCACTCCAATGTAAACTGTAGTTTCTTGTGTCACGTGTAGGTCTAAACACGCAGCAGTGCGCACAGACCTGCGAGCACGGCTTATTTTGAACCGGTTCCTACTGGAACAGGATCCGGGAACTCTTGACAGGGTTTCCAGTAACTGTGCTGGGATCCCGTAACTCTCAGACCTACTAATAATAAATTATGGACAAATTTAATTGCCAATAATTACATAAACACTAATTTTAAACATAACAGCCACTTACGAGCTTCCTGATATCACATATGAGCTGCCCCTTCAAGTAAGCATTTCTGTTTCTACTCTTAAAAAAATCTTTGCCCCTAAAATACAGTCATGGACATTTAATTAAAAACACAAAAATATAATAAAATATAATTAAACAGCACAACTAAACTGCAAATCAGTTTTACAGTTTAAGTGGGTCATTAATAAAATTGTCATTATTAAAAATAGAAGAGAAATGTTTGATGGGCAATCACGTTTATGATCACGTATCAAAACAACGGTGCCAATTTGTCAAAAACGACAGCAGGATGCAGGGTAGGATGCTTGAGAGAGGCAGAGAGTGCTCTATTCACACAAGGGGAGCTGTTGGTCAGGCTACTTCTTGATGCTCTCTAAAATAGTTACTGAATCAAGTGTTTACAAATGTAGGTAAACGTAGATGTTTAACAAACTGTTAAAATACACCAGAATGCAGCAGATGGCATCTACTTTATAGAAAATTTTCTGAGGCAGGAAACTTACTCACTCACTAAACTTCCGTATTCCTCACTACTTATTTAGGAGCATCTCTGACACGGATTCCATTCATTTATTTCATTTTGTTGCATCAAGGCATCTTTTTCTTTTTTTTTTTTAAATCAAAATCCCATGCAAAACATTTGAGGGAGGCACCCGAGTCCAACAGGACAGAGACATTTTGTAAAGTCAGTGTCTCTACCCAAGTCGTACCCGACTCAAACATCTGTTGCCATTGTGTAACCATGAGCTCACGGACTCCCTGAACAATCAGGGTGTGTAACATTCAAACCAGGCCATGGATTTAGCTGTGACTTGTGTTATTTAAACATTTAGTTTATCTTTACTGACGGCTGATTAAAGATCCTCCTTTAGTCTTGAAGTCTCTGAAGCAGATGCTGCTTGTGTGAAATGCAGATAAAGTACAACGTAGCCTGGTTGCATTTTCAGGTAAATGTATTATTTTAAGAGCTAAATGCCTGATTTGAAGTCTTCCTCAAATGTCCAGGTCTAACCACGTAATATTAATAAAATGAGTCCATATCTGCTTCTTTTAATTCAAGTAGATTAAATCTGTAAGGATGCTTTGAAGAGACGTATGGGTACAAAGTGACCAAAGCTGCAAATGTTGAGAATTAATCTGGAGCCTGGTCTAGTTTAAAATACAAACTTGTAATTCCTTTTGACAAATCTCAAAGGGTGTTTATTTTAATTCTGATAAAAGTAATGCTTGAAATAAAGCCAAAAGCTTCAGTCATGTTCACGTCCTCGTACGTCCTCTGACCGTTAAATTAAAATAAAAAAGATTTACAAAGCGTTCTGCAGGACGGAGCTGACTTCATTCAGTTTATTTTCCTTAATTTAAGCTCTGGAAAGTGAAAGCTCGTTAAACTTTAAAGTAATTTACTGTCACAGCAGCTAAGATACAGGAAACGGATGAACTCTGATGGTCACGTACCTTTAACAGCGAAGAACAAAAAAACTGATTTATCATTTTCAATAAGCTTTAAAAAGTTAAACGTTTTTAAATCCTAACTTGTATAGAGGGAGCATTTGACCGGAGCTGTGGTTCTGTCAGTGGGTTCAGTTAGGATCAGCTGTGGTGGACAGGCAGGGGACACGTGGACTGATGTCCTCTGTAGTGAGGGTAGGCAACAGGTGGAAGGTAAGTCCAAAGCGAGACAGAGTCCACGTGTGAATGTTTGGTTTAGAGATGGGGCTGACACTGAAGTGAGCGGTCAGCAGAAGAATAGATGCTGATGGGCAGATTGAGATGGTTCAGACACGTCCAGAGGAGGGACAGTGGACAACGTGAGCTGCAGAGACGACAGAAGAGATTTACTCCAACATCTGCCAACAGGTGTCTGCTGACTGTAGCTACAGCTCCAGTCTAATCTGAGTGTCTGACTCTCGCTCTCCAGATTACGGCTGTGATGGAGATTACGACGATGGATTCTAGCCGACTCTGGACCCGTACAGACGGTACCAAACCCACACGGTATTAACAGAAACACCTGCTGCTGCCGGATCAGGAAAAGCTGGGCCACGGTTCTGATCGGACTGAACAGCTGGGTTTCTGAAACTTCTCAGGAACGGACTCGATCTGCTGCTGATTCTTAAAAACAAACTGCACCACCTGCATCAGGTTTTATTCATGCCTAACACTAACCATAGATCCACGGTGACTAGTTTTATATATTTTCTTGTTTTTGCTCTTATAAAACTGACCCTTTGATGTATTTATTCAATAATCTGCTTTGTGGCTGAGGTTTGTTGTCCCATCAAAGACTCAAGAATTAGTTTAGAATCGTTTTATCTAAATATAACGGTTCAGTCTGAAACCTAATCTGTTTTTGTTTGGTTTAGTTAATGAATGCTGTATATTTTGTTGTTGCTTTCTTCACAGAACATTTAATGCGATTAAATCATGTCAACTGAATTTGCTGCAACAGTAAAGATTTCACCCACAGAACAAAAACTGTCCTCGACCTTTTGTTAGAAAATGGCATTCCAAAGTCTGAAAGATCTTCAGGATGACTCTCAACTACTACCATTTTAACTTTTAGCTCAACGTCTGTGAAACTGAGTTGGCAACCGATTCGCCTCGACTGACCTGAAGTCGGTCTCGCTGGACTGCGACCGTCGGAGATGGCGAACGACATTCGTGATGGAGTCTCAACCTCTCATTTGTGGAAGATTGTGCAACAACTTTTCTTGGGCGTCTTAAACCTCCGAGGCCATGGTTCACCTGGACCAGGTGAAATGCTTTCTCTGGGTTGGGGGCGTCTTGTTCCTGAGTGATGGATCCGCTGATTGGGGCCTTGTCCTCGGTAATGAGAGCGTTGCTTCGGTCAGTCATGGTGAAGAAAGAGCCGAGTCTAAAGACAAAGCTCTGGATTTACTGGTCTGTCTATGTTCCAACCCTCTCCTGTAGTCATGAGGTTTGTATCAGGACAGATCCTGGATCCAAGCAGCTGAAATGAGCTTCCTGCTTAGGGTGGGGGGGGGCTCAGCCTCGGAGGTAGGGGGACCCGGAAGAGAACCCAGAACTCTTTAGGGATTACAGGAGCATCTCAAATAGAATATCATTAAAAAGTTAATTTCTTGTAACATTTCAGAAAGTGAACCTCATATTTTGCATAGATTCATTGCATAGTTAAATATTTCATTCTGTGTGTAAAGAATATTCTGTATATAATTTATGAGTTCCACTTTGTGAAATGATGAACAGAAAATATTGAACTTTTTCATGATATTCTTAAATTTTTATGATGCACCTCTCTGGTGTGAGAACGCCTTCAGGTCCCCCAGGTGAATTCTCGAGTTGTATTTTGACAGAAAGCATCCGAGGTTCCAGCTGTTCCAACGATAAAGGATAATTAGAAGAATCGCATTTTGAATGTTAAAAGAACAGAAACTAAAATGTTCTAAAACCTAAAACGGAGCAAGAACACTGAAGCAGATGTCAAAAGCCAAAGACGATGTTCTGATCTGAACATTTTGATGAAAGAACAGTTAAAAGTCTTACTGACGTACTGGTCTAAATCTTAATTTCTGGCAGATTATATCAGACATGAGGTGGGGAACAAAATGATGTGCACGACCAAGAGTACAGTTTATGAGCTGAGCACTGTGGTTTAAAAATAAACGTGCCTGCATGGCTCGCTGCTGTCAAACACTCGGATTATAGCGAGACGTTAACTTGCACATTTTCTTTTACATTTTATTGTTGAATGCAACTGGGACCCTGTGTACATAATCTTATTCCACCACATGTACCACATGGAGTGCGAATGACAATAAAGGACCTTGAATTCTTGAACATATATATATATATATATATATATATATACTTCTCACCCTATCTCTAACTGAGAGTCCAGCTAACCTGCAGAGGAAACTCATGTTGACCGCCTGTATCCACAAGCTTGTTCTTTTGGTCACTACTCATGACCATAGGTGAGGGTACACCTACCCATAAACAGCAGCTTCTCCATGTTTACGTTAATTTCCACGTCTGGATTTTAATGAAGACCACCGCTTTACAAACGGCTTCGATTAACCAAGTAAAAAATACTTGATTAAAACCATCTACCTGACGAAGTGCTTCAAACTACAGTCTTTTTCTACATCATCTCATTTAGCTGCTCTCGTCTTTAACCTTCTTTTAAATGATGAAAATCTTGCTGCGAGTGAGGAAATCCATACAAGACTTGTCATCCAACAGTCTCTAAATCAGGCTGCCGGGGAAAATCGATGAGCGAGGACTTTTTCTTTCAGAATAATCTAGTTCAGCTCAGTTACATCTCAATTAGTCTGATTAATATTGTAGGATGTGAAAACCAAAGTGAGCTCCTTTTCTCCAACGTCTGAACTCCACTTGAGAGGTCGGCGCCTCGTGTGTTTTACAAACTCTAGAATTACCCTTCATATGACCTCTCACCCCTTCCAGGTTACCCTGGTGGCTCCGGAACACAACTTCATGCTTTTGGATGCTGTATAACCTTCAGGTCAGTTTTCTTAGGTCCAATCAGTTTTTCCACTTGTCTATCATGTTCCCTCCCCAGAACAGATCCTCCACCCCGACTCCAAGACGGGCAGAAACCCACACCACACTTTTAATCTACCGGTAACTTAAAGCAGAATGACTCTGAATACAGTTGTTTGCACTTCCTTCCACCTCTTTCTCAATCTGCTGTTTGAAACCACGAGTAAAAAAAAAACAAAAAGGAAAGTTCAAGCTTTAAAAAGACCTTCCTGCTTCCTGTTCTCTGCCCGTCTGGATGTTTGTCTCCATTTTCTCTGTTCACAGAAGGTTTGTGGAGCTGTTGGGTCTACGCTCAGTTGCTTCTGGACCATCCTGCCTCATTTCTCATTAAATCCATTTTCTCATCCCTCTGCCTGCTCTTAACTCTCCTGCCTCGTCTTTCCTCTCTGCATCAGCTCATCACCTGCAACCACAATCTGCATCAGACCCTAAACAACACAGCCGTGGTCCCGCTTGCCTTTCTCACCCCAATTATTTCCCTGGACCTTCGCTTGAAGGGATTATTTCACCTCCCGGGCCTTTTTTATTTTTCATTTCAGTGCATCCCTAACCTTTATTCCACTGCAGGCAACATCTATTGTGTTATAAAATTATTTCCCTTCATTTAGATTCAGAAATCTTACACGGAGTTGAGTCGTTTAAGGGGGGTTTGGAGGATGAATCGTGGGTCCGTTGGGGTTTCTCAAGGACGAACGAACTACCAGCAGAAACTGAAAACAGTCGGATATTCGAGGCAGCGGGAGCTTATTCTGTTGGAGCTTAAGACCTGAATCCAGCTGCCATTTAAATCTGCCTTTCTTCCCATCCACTCAGATGTTTGTGCATCTCCTGAAAGCCACAGTAAATTACAACTTGGACCATTTGGATTTCTGCTTGTTAGCTCTTCCAGATGCTGACAGTCTTCACAAAGAGTCAAGTTCTGGGACAGAGCAATAAACAATAACAACAGAACGATGCGTAACGTGGAGCTGGCTGTGACACATCGCCTCAGAAATGTATCCACAGCGAGCCTCGTCTGCTCGGTGCGACAGGGAGCAGTGAAGCAAATCAGTGTGAACAGCGTGGAAAATTAAGAAATTAGTCCCGGCTGTGGAGCCGAATGTGCCGCCATCTCCCAGTTCCCAAACATAAATCCTGTATGTTTTCTTGGCTCGACGTGCGACTAAACGCTCAGAGGAGGAGCCGAACATTTCTCTGCAGCCACAGATGAGTTTGGTGCTCGGGTCTGATGAGCGGCCCCATCCCTGTAATTGGATTCATTAAGAAGTAACTGAACCCACATCTGTGGGAACAACTCCCAAGACGGTCACCTCACACACACACACACACACACACACACCTCATGAATGTCCCACGATAAACACACACATTGACACAGCCTTGTTTATAAATGCAACTTGTGTCAAAGTCAAGAAAACAGAGAAATGATTAGTAAAAAATGATTTGTTGTTAAGAAGTGAAGGGAGACTAACTCGACTGAATCGTTCAAACCTTTACAGGAACGATAAATGTTGACGATCTGTATTCAGGATCTGAGATGTGAGGGAGGAATAGTTTATTGCAAAGAGCAGCGTGACATCCCCTGGTGTGTGTGGTGGTACAGTATACAGATGCTGTGGGTGTGTGTGCGCGCGTGTGTGTGTGTGTGCTCTACCGCAGCCCTGTAATTACCTGGAGTCAGATCTTTGTCTGTAACGCAGGTGGGAGACACAGAATTTAATTACAGGACGGGAGCCGGGCTTCAGCCCACCTGTTTGAGTGTTGCTTTTGCACCTGTGTGTCCCTGCTCTTTTTCTGGAAACGCGTCGGTGTGTGTAGCTGCTGCGCTGATTTTGTTGTGGTTGTGTGTGTGTGTGAGAGAGAGACGGAGGCGGGTGAGCGTGAGACCTGAGTAAAATAGAAAGAGACAGGAGAGCTGAGGGGGAGGGAGAGATGCTGAACACCTGGCACCTGGTCAGAAGCAACACGACGGAGATTAAAACCACCACAAACACAATCCCTTCTTCTTTGTGTGATCTAACGTTAACTTTGTTCTTCAGCTCCAGCACGGTGGCTCAGCGTCAGCTGTCAGGCACCTTTGAAGGCTCGAGGTGCTCTTTGTCAACCTTGTTGCTAAGCAACTTGCACCACGACAACATCTTGGTGGGTTTTAGAGATCTGCTCCATGAAACACGAGACAACGAGCTCACGTTCAGGTAGTTAAGACACAACTATTTGACCCTTTTCACATTTTAACTACTAAACTTAACTAGCATTTGTTGAAAAAATGCACAAAGTCGCGGTAGCTCAGTGGTCAGTGTCGCAGTCCCGTAGTCCTGAGGCTGCAGGTCTGAGCCCAGGCTGCTTCAGGAAAGGCAGCCGGCGTAAAACAATCACTGAAACTTTCAGGCGAGTTCGCTCGCTGTTGTGACCGCTGCAGGAGGTAGCAGCCAAAAGATAAAA